GACATTGCTCCACCGGAAATCATGTATTGCGCGCGCAACCTACAGATTATTCACTAATCTGTAGGTACAGATTAGTGAATAATCTGCAGGTTGCGCTGTTTCCCATAATTAACTTTAGGCGTTTAGCCAATGAGAAGATAGATGGTGACTACAATGTATAATTATGCCAATTAATGTCCAGTCAAATGGAAAAGATGTCGGACTAAAATAAAGATTTGAAAGGACGTATGTCCTGTTAATGGAGAAAAATTACTTTCAGCACAGTGGATGTGTTGGCGAAGTTAAACCAGTGCATGCACCTCACCGTCGGTTGAAACCTAATTGAAGCGAACGGAAGCTTTCGTTTAGATGATTTGCGATCTCATATTAGCATTGTTTTTCAATTTTCTTTTGAAGCTTTGTGAGCGTATAACTGTCGTAATGTAGGAATAGATTTCGATCTCTCAACGCGAATTACGAGCTTTCTCTAGCGAAAACCTCGCAGTTTTTTTCTTTTTTTGTGGTTACAAATGGAAGGTGGTGTCTTGAATCTTATATGTTGATTTTGAGGTTTTAAAAGTTTAGGATGACCTGATCGAAAAAATCTAAAAGCGTGACTGAGTGCTATCACCACATACGTAATTCTATTGTTTGTTCTACAAAATTTAGCTCGTTGGCCTTAAGATCGTATACATGAATTTGGAAGTGAAATATGTTTGAGGTCGTATTTGTGAAATTTAAGACTGTTTTTATGCGCTCAGAATTTTTACGCCGTTACATAAACTTTAAGATATACTAATTTAGAAATCATATTTTTTTGCTGAGCTTGAATTCTGAGATCGCAATATTTTTTGTCAAAGCGTTGCTATAGTCTTGCTCAAACTTTTCATGTCATGATGGATTAAAATACATGGTTGCAGTGTGGCAGGGACGGTTTTTAAAAAAATTGTCATTAAAAATGACACAACTTGCGATATTACCCTTTTTGGATCTGTGTTTGGGCAGTTACTAAATAACAATACCTGATAACGGAATGATCTAGAAATTTTTATGCACGTTATTCGAACTTCGAACAAAAAACAGTGTGAATTATTTAGAGTGATCTACTTGTGCACTTTGGCTTACAATTTTTTATATATCAATGAGAGATATCTTAGGTATGGTTACATTGTGCGTTACAGCTTCGTAGGGTACAGTATTGGCAAAAATCTATTACAGCTTAAAATTAACATCTGTCCGGCCCCATGCAGAAAAGCACGCCAGTTCCTCATTTCTAGATACAAGTATACATGTATGTGTAGTTCCTGCAGTTTAATAGATGTAAGTGTATATTTTTTCTTTTTCCTTTTTTTTTCTTTCTTTTCCAGGGGGACAACCATTTGGAGTTATACAACCTTTCCCAGAGAGCATCTACCCACTAGAGTACACCTCAGCAAGCGTTACTTGCATTGCATTTGATGCATCTGGTAAACTTCAACCAGATAGAAGAGAGTTTTATAGGGGAGATGATCTTAACCGATACAGAAAGTTAGAGGGGGATAGATTTTTGTTTAATCAAAGAACAGAGAATATAAGTGAGTATATCTTTGTATTATAGATAATGTATCTGGCTCTAGAAAACAAAACAAAACAAAACAAAACAACCTCTGGATCTCAGACTTTACACCCAAACCAGGATTCTCAAAATCGTCATAAATATTGCATTGATCAAGTCAAAACTGCAATTACTGGCTGTAAGATGTACAGCAAGTGGCCATGTGATGTATGAATTTCAGATTATGGCAAGCATAATTTGGGAATTTATGAACGAGGCTGAAACATGATTTCCCCCCCTGAATTATATGTCACCCGTAAATTTTATTTCTTTCTGTTTGTCAAAACATCAAGTTTTCCCTGAAACCTCGCACATGGTAAGAGAGATTTGAAGTTTTTCTTTTCTTCGGATACTTGATGCCTTAATCTTACTTCAATTTGTGCATGGAATGGGATCAGGTCCCCCTCGCCTCCCCTCCCCCTCTATCATCTGTACAGTACAAAGCCATTTTCTTCTCTTCCTGCTAACAAATTAATTGCTTTCGTTGTAGGCGGAAACATTAAATTGTCCACGACCATGACTTTGAAGAATGCAACTTTTTTTTTATGATGACAGTCCGTACTGTGATCTTGGAAGCTATGAGTGCCATGCTTTTGCGAAAAATGTAACCTTACCAAAGAAGCATGGCTTTTATGTCAGCGTTATTACAAGTAAGTCTATGCATTACAGATGACATTTTACTACTTCATACTCTTACAGCATAAGTCTATTATGTATTTCGTGTCTATCCATTGAGTATAGAGTTGAGTAAAAATAAACTGTTACAAAACAGGAGGAAATGCAAGAGGTGGGGGTAATTTTTCTGAAGACTGGCATCTTATTGAGGGGGAAAAACACTACTGCTATCTCTTTTAAACCACTGAGAATAGGATGAGCTGTTGTAGTGTGGTTACTTGCCATTGTTCAAAGTCAACATTCCTGTTATTTTTCACCTCTTTGAACATGCAGTTTACATGAAGTGTGACTGCTGAATGATCACGAAAAAGTTATACCCTCATCTTAAATGGTAAAGTACCTTTTTATAAAAGTCCTTATGCAGCAAAATATTTCTATAAACCATCTCCATTCCAACAAGGAAACAAAATGTATTTGTTAGTTAACAGAAAAATCCATCCACCTGATGCTTGAGCACTTGGCCAATAATCTTCACCTACATGTAATTGTTTACACATTCTTGCATTTCAGGAAATGAAATTCCAACAGTGAAAGTCACAGATTCCAGTGTTCTTAATCCAGGTGACGACATCATAATCTTCTGCAACCTAACTAAAAGAGGAAACGAAAACAGCACTTCACTGAGGAGGATATCCTGGTATAAAGATGGGAAGTTGTTGGAGAGTGCGGTTTCCAGATCCAGATGTGCAACAGGACCTTATAGCCCCACTGAAACTTACAAAGGTTGCTGTCCAACAAGGGGGAAATTACACATGCCTTTTGGAAGGAAAGCTGAGGAATATTAAGGAGTACAAAGTTACAGATGGCATATTTATTAAGAGTAAGTACAATGCACTATTACATGTGTGTTGATAGTAATTTTTTTTTTCTTAAGATGCTCTTTAAGAAGAATTTAACCCTTTCCCTCGAGGTATCTCATAAGTACTGTCTACCATATCATGCGTACGAATTAAATCCGGGCGATTGATTTGGTATTGGATTGACCAATAATCCCCTAATTGACATTTTTGTTTATTCTCATCACTTGTCTGCTTGATTTTGTATTGATATTGTAAGGAGAAATTCTGTCTTGGTCACTCATAGCAGTATAATAAAGGTTTAACTGTGGTGGTACATTAATTGTTCATTATGTGTGGTACTAGAAATCAACAAACTGAAGAAACCTGGGCCACATTTTTAAAAGTCTGCATAATTGAACCCTTTCACTTGCAAGATCTCATTAGTAATTCTTGTTACTGTCTGCCATTCAAAAA